TTTTTGAGGGGTGGTAGCTCATCTTTTGTTTTTCTTCTAAAGATTTACTTATTTATTTGAAAGGCAGAGTTAGAGAGAGAGGGAGAGAGAGATGCAGGGCAGGGCAGCGGGGGAGGGTGTTCCATCTGCTGGTTTAGACCCCAGTCCGAAGCCAGGAGCTTCTTCTGAGTCTCCCATGTGGGTGCAGGGACCCAAGTACTTTGGGCCATCTTCCACTGCTTTCCTAGGCACCTTAGCAGGGAGCTGGATGGGAAGTGGAGCAGCGGGGACTCAAACCAGTGCCCATATGGGCTGCTGGTGCTGCAGGTGGCGGCTTTACCCGCTGCGCCTTACGCCGGCCCCTGGTAGGAGATGACACGAGCCATCAACTCCAAGTCCTGTGCAGGCTCCTTCTTTGCTGTTTGAGTTGTGTGCTTTTCCATTTTCTCTGCAGGGGGGCCTTGCCCTCCTTCCCTGGAGCCGGGCTGCCCTGGCGACGTCCCTGCACGTGGAGCGTGGTGTGTGACGGCGGAGGCAGTGGTGCCATTGCTGCGACAGCAGGCACTCCTTCCATCCTGCCTGTGCTCTCGGCACGGCCGCTGGTGCCACGAGGACACGAGGCGCCAAGGCTCCTGCCAGCAGCCGTGAGCTGAGCCATCTTGTTGGCACTTCCTCAGCCCAGTGCGTGGCCGCCAGGCTGCCGGGTGCCTGCCGCTCCCGCTGAGCTGGTGGCCTCGGCAGGAGAGACCCTGAGCCGCATTGTCCCAGCGGAGCTGCTCCTTAGGCTGGGACAGCAGACGCCTGTGTTCCAAGTTTAGAGCGGGTGACCGCTCCAGGTGCGAGGCTGCGGGCGGAGCCGCAGCACCTGTCAGTGGCACCCCTGCCTTGCCGGCATCGCCGCCCGTGCCCTGAGAGCGTGGGGCGTCTGCCCTAAAAGGCGTGCTCCCTCAGGCTGGCGGGAAGGCTCTCGCGTGGTGTTCTTGTCGGGGATTTCTGAGTGACAAGCAGCAGCGGTTCCGAGGTCCCCAGCGTAGCCTCTGGGAGGGAGGGGGCTGGAGCGGCGTGGAGCGGCACGTGCCGGTGAGGACCGTCTTCCTCCTCGTGAGCAGTGGGGAATTCTGCTTCTGCCTGAGCCAGCTCGGAGGCGTCAGCTTCTGCCTTCTGGCGCGGAGGCGGCCTCCCTGCTTCCCTGGAGGGCCTTGCTGTCTTCTTGGAGGTGTGTCCCCTCTGCGGGAGGGCCTTGCTGTCTTCTTGGAGGTGTGTCCCCTCTGCGGGAGGGCCTTGCTGTCTTCTTGGAGGTGTGTCCCCTCTGCGGGAACACGTGGGCGCGGACCCCGTGCTGCCTCTTGCTGCCTGGCGCCGTGTTCCCACGGTCCCCGAGCCCGAGGACCCTGTGGCTCGGCTCTGCCCGCGCGCTACCGCACTTCAGGCCGTCTGTGCCGGGCTGTCTGCTCCAGGACCCGGGATGAGCGAGCGGTTAGTTCCCCGTGGGCCCTGCCACTCTCAGTTCAGGGAAGAAGAGTCGGGGCTTGAAACCACCGAAAGCTTCTCTCTTTGCTGAGAATCTGCGAGCGGCCGGTGTCCGTCACTTCTGCTCACGTCTCATTGGCCGAGCAGGTCACGTGGCCAGGCCTGCCCGCAGCGGGCCTGGGGCAGGGAGGAAGTGGAGGTGATGTCATGCCCTGCACAGCAGTTACCGGGCTCTGCTCCACAGCCGGCTCTTGGGCCGAAGCCTTCCTGAAGCCGCCATGGGCGTTTCTGCGCCGACCCCAGGTTTTCCTGCCTGGAATCGGGCACGTAAACCTCTGCTTTGGCATGGCTTCCGCTGCCGGGGGGACACTGGTGACCTCCCCCCCCCCCCCACCGTCTTCCTCCTGCAGAGGAGAGCGCCCTGAGTCAGGTGTTAGTTCAGAAGCCAAATCGACTCTGGCTTTGGCTGCTGCGATGTCGCCACAGGATGAGGAATGTGCCGACCGCAGCTGCTTGCGCACCAGCGCTGAGTCGAGGCTGGGGGTGGAGTCTGGACCACGGGGCAGTCTTTGGCACCTGTGGGGGTGTGGGATGGGGTTTTCTGTGGGGTTAGGAGTCAGTGTGGCGTGCAGAGGAGCAGTCCCTGTGGACCTGGAGGCTGGAGACAGCGGAGGCACAGCTGGCCCGGCGACTTTGGGATGCAGCCCTCCCTGTGTCCTGGTGTCTGCTCTGACTGGGTGCGGCTGGGTGCTGGTCAGATAGAGGCATGGGCATGGGAGGGTGGAGGGCAGAGCAGGTGCCAGCACAGCTTCCCAGCCCCATGGCTCTCCCTCCTCCGAGTGGACGTCTGGCCCTGGGTTGGGGGGTCTCAGGTGTTGAGTGTGGCCGAAGGGTGAGGTCAGCCAGCAGTGCCCAGGTGTGCAGCCTGGGTGGCCGTGTTGACAGGACCAGTGTGCAGAAGCAGGCTTGTGCGCTGTGTTTGTGAAGCGTGTTGTGGGGATATGAGTTCCGCTCTAACCAGGCAGGGCGAGGAGGCATGTGGGCTGAGGAGGTAGCTCTGGACTGAGAGACAGCCTCCCGTGAGTGTCCCTGGCCAGCTCCCCTGGGCACCTGTGTCCCGGTGTCTGCGTTCTGAGCACCAGGTGGTGGCGGAGGGAGCTGCCCAGTGCGGGAGCCGTCTTGTCGTTGGAGAGTGAGGGCCCCGGGGCCTCCTCTGCTCCTGCCCCGGGGCCTCCTCTGCTCCCGCCCCGGTCTGAGACCCTCCTCAGTCCCCACTGTGCGTCACAGTGCTGTCTTCTGTCAGGCTGGACGATCAGGCCCACCCCCACAGCCCAGCTACGGGGAGGCTCTGACCTAGCCTCCCAACGCCAGTCAGGAGCCTGCACCCGAGTCTGCGAGTCTACGTGCTGGGGTCCACCCCGCCCTGACCTCCCATTCTGCTTCCTGGGAGACAGCAGGTGGCACACAGGCACAAGTAGTCAGGTCCCTGCTGCCCGTGGCCCAGCCCTGGCTGGTGAAGGCATTCGGGGGACTGAGCCAGGGAAAGGGAGATCTCTCTGTCTCTCAAATGAATAAAATTTTTAGAAACCACCTCATTTTGCTTTCTTAATATGCTTGCGTATTTTGACACTTACGTTAGGTTTGTCATGACATTCCACTCCTAAATCCTTTTTTTTTTTTTTTTTTTTGACAGGCAGAGTGGACAGTGAGAGAGAGAGACAGAGAGGAAGGTCTTCCTTTGCCGTTGGTTCACCCTCCAATGGCCGCCGCGGCCGGCGCGCTGCGGCCGGCGCACCGCGCTGATCCGATGGCAGGAGCCAGGAGCCAGGTGCTTCTCCTGGTCTCCCATGGGGTGCAGGGCCCAAGCACCTGGGCCATCCTCCACTGCACTCCCTGGCCACAGCAGAGGGCTGGCCTGGAAGAGGGGCAACCGGGACAGAATCCGGCGCCCTGACCGGGACTAGAACCCGGTGTGCCGGCGCCGCTAGGTGGAGGATTAGCCTAGTGAGCCGCGGCGCCGGCCTCTACTCCTAAATCCTTAAGTGCCTCTTGCCAAAGATAAGTCCGTTTTTTGGCACGCCAGCCTAGGAGTGCTGAACCGGGCAGCTGGAGTGATGGTTCTTCATCTGAAGTCAGTCAGTGCAGATTCCCCGAGTGCCTGATGTCCTCCGGATGTGACGGACCCAAGGCACGTGGCCCAGGACGACCCATTGCAGCTGGTGGTCAACAGGATTCAGACTGACTCGGGAGCGTGAGGCATTCGCCAGGTGCGGCTTCCTGTCTGGTGCCCTGCCCGCCGCGAGGGTGACGTGTGCAGTGCACCGTGGGAGGCTGTGCGAGCAGGTGGCCCTTTGCCTGCTCATCCACCGTGGAAACTTCTAGAAAGTATTTCTGTGTCTGCCTTGCGTACTCTCCGCTGTCCTGGTTTCTCCATGGTTTGACACTTTCTGTATTTCATCGTGAAGCATTGCTGTTAAAAGTACAACATGAAAAATGGATTTGTGGTTTTCCGTATAAAGCTGGTAGAATAGTGTTGAGGACGTTGGTTTATCGTACGGCATGTTGAGAGGAAGGGTGAGATACTTTCCCCTATAGATTCTTTTTTTTTAAAGATTTATTTTATTTATTTGAAAGAGTTACACAGAGAGGTAGAGACAGAAAGGTCTTCTCATTTGTTGGTTCACTCCCAAATGGCCGCAATGGCTGGAGCTGCGCCAAACTGAAGCCAGGAGCCAGGAGCTTCTTCCAGATCTCCCTCGTGGGTGCAGGGGCCCAAGCACTTGGGCCATCTTCCACTGCTTTCCCAGGCCATAGCAAAGAGCTGGATTGGAAGAGGAACAGCCAGGACTAGAACTGGCGCCCATATGGGATGCCAGTGCTTCAGGCCAGGGCTTTAACCCATTGTGCCACAGCGCCGGCCCCTCCCCTATAGATTCTAAAGCGTGTTGGGTGTTTGGTGTTCCCTTCCCCTGTGTCTCCCCCACACCTGGCCAGGTGGTGTCGGGGCTGTCTTGGTGAGCCAGCTGTCTCCCTCTCTCTCTACTGGGGACGTTTCAGAGGTCCCTTCCTGGGCCCCCCTTAGAGGTCTGATTTAGTTGGTCTGGGAGACGGCCATGCTTCTGGCCTCCACTCAGAGGGCCCTGAGAGGCCGGGAGCCAGCCAGCGCTCGGAGGGGGTGGGGGCTGGGGGCGTGGAGCGGCACCTGCCAGGGTGCCCGGGGATGCCAGGCGCATTTGTCCTGCATTGAGAGCTGGCCGGCCCCCGCCCCCAGCAGTTCAGGCCCTCACCTGCACACGGAGCCTCCTGTGTGAGTTCCAGCGAGGTGCCCCTCGTTCCTGAGCTGCAGGGTCTGGTCTCGGGAGCAGGCTGCTGCCCTTCTCTGGGGGAGTGCTCCAGTGAGGACGCTCGTGGGCTCAGAGTGCGTGCCGGCCCTCCGTGGCTAGCGCTTGTCTCGTCCCATTGTTTTGTTTCCTGTTGAGAAATGTGTGTGCTCACCGAGGCTCTGATGTCATGTTGAAGCCCATTGGTGGGCAGCGCAGCCAGTCAGATGCTTCCTGGTATCCGAGTGAGAGCGAGCTGTACCCTGGAATAACAGGAAGCCTCGTCCATAGCATCCTGTTGCTCTGGGCTTTGTGGCTCGCCCGCTGGCCACCATGAAGGTTAGTAGAAGTTTATGTTCGTGTTTCTTTACTGGCTAACGCTGTAGCTCGAGTCCTCCAGGCTGTGGAATGAGACCTTAAATAACAGTTGGAAAAGTCAGGCCACCTTCTTTGCAGGTTGAGGAACCTTTGTACTTTGCATGTGGGGAAGCTGAGGCCTGTTAAGGTTAATGATACTTTTTATTTTTTTAATAGTGACTTTTAGCTCATTTTTGTCACTTGAGATGAAAATGGATATTCATTTGTGTTGGAATTTCATCTTAAATCGTTGTTCGGCAGTGGCTGGCACTGATGGGGTTGTGCGGCCTGTCTGTTCACAGGGAGGGTCCGGGTCCTGGTCCTGTTGGAAATGGTGTCAGGGCACACGCCCAGGGCGCGAGGGCTCACGGCCGCCCTTGAGGCTGGGCCTTATGTAGGAGCTGTGGCTGCTGCAGTCTTGACAGTGGTGATCCGGTGGCCTCCTCCTCTTCTTTAAAAAAGCTGTTCTGTTTATTTGAAAGGCAGAAAAGCAGAGCTCCCAGCCGCCGGTTCTTTCCCAGAAGCCTGTGCAGTCAGGGGTGGGCCAGGCTGAAGCAGGGACTGGAAACTCCGTCTGTTTTCCCTCCAGGGCTGTCCCGGGCCCTCCGACGGTGTGCATGACAGGAAGCAGGCTCTGGTGTGCGACGCGGGCGTCCCAGAGTGTCTATCTGTGCCGCCAGATGCCCGTCCTGTTTGCCTCTCTGAGCCAGTGTCCAGTTCTGTGGTCAACCATCAGCATCCCTCGGGACTGTTGGGCTTTCGTTTCAGACACTGTGGCGGGAGCCCGTAACTGGGGGTGACGCGTGGGTGAGAAGGCAGTGTTTGTCGGGCCTGGGCGGCTTCCCCTGGTGTCTCGCTGTGAGCGTCCCGTGCGGTGTGGCCTCCTGGGGTGTAGATGGACCATGTAGCTCCCTGTCCAGTGTTCTGGGGCAGCCAGGCGGGAGCAGGGGGGCTGTCCAGGAAGTGAGATGAGTAAGAGTTAGCCAGGAAAACCCGCAGGAAGGGGAAGAGAAGCGAGTTCCTGGCTGGGGAGGGGCTGGCGGGAGGGAGGGCCGGGCAGGGGTGGTGCGCAGACCTAGCGAGAGCCCATTTGTTCATTTCTGCGTCGGTGAGGAGAAGCAGAGTAATGTGATGTGATAAACCTTTCGGTATCTAATGCCTCCCTCTGAGTTTTCATGATTGGGGCGTAGTTTGGATGACTTGACTACTACAGTTATGTTGGGAGCCGATGGTTGGTGATACAGAGTTGTCTGTAACGGTATTTGGAATGAGTGTGTGTTTTAACAGGTGTGTGCCCACACACTCCAGCTGTGACCTTCGGGGCTGGCTCATACTCTGTCTTCCCAGCTTGGGGAGGACTTCATCGGAGTCCCAGGTCTCTGGACAGGCCTGGGGGGGGGGCGGGGTCACAGCCAAGGGGTCCTTGCCAGGTGTCCAGGGGTGGGTGTGTCCCTTGTCCCCACCTGGCCCTCCTCTGGGATCGTGTCTCCCGCCCTTCCCGATTGTCTTGCGTGACGCGCCATGCCCACAAAGGTCTGTCTTTCTTGGCTGTGAGGTCACCTCCTGGCCAACCTGCTCTCTGCAGCGTGCCGTGTGCCGTGCTCTGCCGCCTCTGCCTTAGCCAGGGAGCGTCTGCCCAGCTCCAGCTCTGGGCTGTGCCGAGCTGGGCAGGGCTGGCCCTGGGGCACAGGAAGCCGGTGGGAGGCCCAGGGTGTGACCCGTGCTTAGTGAGGGTCTGACCAGACAGCCTCCCCCAGGACTCCGGCCAGCCCGCTGCTCTCCCTGTCTCTGCTCCCATCTGGGGGTCCTGTCAGCTGCATCGCCCCTGTGTTGGGAGAGTGGCAGTTTGTCCTGCATCCCCGGAAGACGACTCTACTAATTTTGCCTGTTTAATTTTCCCTTTCAGACGTTTGATGCAAATGATTTGTATCAGGGGCAGAATTTTAACAAGGTCCTCAGTTCCCTAGTGACTCTAAATAAAGTGACAGCAGGTAAGACTCTTCTTTTAATTGAACTTTCGGAGCGGGAAGACGGGGTTGGGGGATGAGGGGGTTAGCAAGTGAATTGAGGATTGAATTTAAAGTACGCATGCTTCTGCTGATTGCTTCTTTTGTTCCCTTAGCTCTCACCTTTTTTTCCTTATTAGAATAGAATGTTCCTTTTTGAAAAAAAGATCTATTCATTTATTTGAAAGGCAGATTTACAGAGAGAAGGAGAGACAGAGGCCTTCCTTCTGCTGGTTCCCTCCCCGAATGGCTGCAATGGCCAGGGCTGAGCCAGGTTGAAGCCAGGGGCCTGGAACGCCATCCGGGTCTCCCAGCTGGGTGGTGGGGTCCCAAGCACTTGGGCCATGGTCCGCTGCTTTCCCAGGCACAGCAGCAGGAAGCTGGAACGAAGTGGAGCAGGCAGGACTCCGACCGGCACCCGTGTGGGATGCCCAGCGTGGCAGGCAGGGCCTAAGCCCCTGAGGCACAGCGCCAGCCCGAGGGTGGGCCTGTAGGTCCCCTGAGGATGCTGAGAGGTCAGCTGAGAGCGTGACGAGACCAGGGTCCCTTCACGTGACGTGGCGGAGTGGAGCCCGAGGCGCCTCTCTCGGCTTTCCTGAGTTTGCAGTGTGGATGCTCACTCCAGGGGGCAGTGTGGTTCTGAGCTGTGCCGTGATGAGGGAGCGCGGCGGGCGCGCTGTCTGCCGAGGTGTGCCGGGGCTGGAGGCAGCAGAGACGGGCTTTGCCTGCTCCGCGCCTGGCTGTTTCTAAGGGGGTGGGATGGGTGGAGCCCGTCTAGTGAGCCCTCAGACCACAGTGGGGACAGGGCCTGTTCTGCGTGGGCTCCCCACGGGCGGGCTCGGCTGTCCCGTGGGCTGCGTGGCTATGGAAGGAAGAAGCCATAGTGACGCGTTCGTTTCCTGCTGACCTTGACGCATGAAAGTCACACATTAGGGCGGAGGTGAAGTGCCCGCATTGGAACGCACCTCTTCAGTTCTCCCCTACTTTTGTCCGGCCCTGCAGTTGGGGGGTGTGTGTGTGCGGGGGGGAGGCAGGACTGCCGTGGGCGGCACAGACTGGCTTCCTCAGCCCTGCTGGCACCCTGCTGCTGTCACGTCAGTGCCTGGCGAGAGGCGCTGGGGCTGAGAGCAGGGCACCCCGACACTGGGTGGACTTATCTAGGAAATAAGGATTTGAAGGGCCAGAGTACAGAGCTGGCTATAAACTGTTAAAATCATCACACCTTTTGGCCGGCGCCACGGCTCACTAGGCTAATCCTCCGCCTAGCGGCGCCGGCACACCGGGTTCTAGTCCCGGTTTGGGGCGCTGGATTCTGTCCCGGTTGCCCCTCTTCCAGGCCAGCCCTCTGCTGTGGCCAGGGAGTGCAGTGGAGGATGGCCCAGGTGCTTGGGCCCTGCACCCCATGGGAGACCAGGAAAAGCACCTGGCTCCTGGCTCCTGCCATCGGATCAGCGCGGTGCGCCGGCCGCAGCGCGCCGGCCGCGGCGGCCATTGGAGGGTGAACCAACGGCAAAGGAAGACCTTTCTCTCTGTCTCTCTCTCTCACTGTCCACTCTGCCTGTCCAAAAAAAAAAAAAAAAAAAAATAATCACACCTTTTGATAATGTTTGCAGACAAGTGTTTGTGGTGTGTTATAATTAATTAGACAGTGAGCTACCTTCTTTATCACTGCATTTTCAGAATGCTCGCTTAGCCTGAGCAGACGTCAGGAAGAAAGTCACATATGTCCATGGGTGGGGACCGGCAGGCAAATTCAGCCGGAGACCGTGGCAGACCCATGTTCCCCAGCCACATGGCCGTCTTACTGTGGCTGCTTAGACGCTGGTCTGTACCTCCACGGTTTGCATGACATAAAATGATTGGGAGGTCTCTGGTGGACGGGGACAAGTGTAGCACAGATCAGTCCACAGAGAGGTGAATTTGGCCCCTCTGCTTCTGTTGAGTGCTCTGGAGTTTGGCTTCTGGGGACACAGCTTTGAGTGTCACCATGGGTGCTTTCTGGGCGTGTGAACCGCGAGTGGAGGAGTTAGTCATTGTTGTGGGTCAAGACGAGAGTCGGGAGAGGCTCGGGGCCGGGCTGGGCCTGTCGGCGGTCCGGCACGAGGCGCTGTGGCAGTCCCCTGAGGGGCGGGGGTGGGACGAGGCTGGGACCCTGCGGCTTGCAGAGCCGTGATGTGGTGCGGGAGCCTGGGTGTTCCTGGCAAAGGCGCGTGTGGAAGCCAGCATCGGCTGGGCGCCCTGGAGCGTGAGTGCCTCGGAGGACGAGGATTGCTGACTCTTCCGCTTGTTGAGTGGCCGCCCTCTCTGGCTTTGAAGCCCGTGGTGGAAGTGACGGTGTGTCCTTAGACCCTGACTCGACAGTGGGCTCAGCCTCTGCCAGGGTGCGGGGGCGGTCTGGGAGAGGGGAGCGGCTGTGTTGGCTGCCGCGTCGCCACGTCGCCACGGCTGAGTGCTGCGCTCTCCTCCTTCCCTGGGACGGGCGTGTGGTGGAAGCAGTCACCAGGCGTTCCACAGACGAGAGAGAGCCGAGAGACAGCTGCCTCTGGAGGGCGTCCGGGGAGCTGGCGGGCAGGAGTGCGAGTGTTTATGTCACGGTCAAGGGCGCTGCTCTGAGCACCGTGGCCACGGCTGGCGTTGCTGTGGTCCCGGGGTGTGGCCCTCGGGCTGCCCTGGCTTCAGGCTAGCGTGGCGTGGGTAGTTTCAGGCCTCCTCAGCCCCCTCCCCGCCATGGCTCTTTCAGACATTGGACTGGGAAGTGACTCCGTGTGTACGCGGCCCTCATCTCACCGGATCAAGTCTTTTGATTCCCTCGGATCCCAGCCTTCACACAGCCGGACTTCAAAATTGTTCCAGGGCCAGTATCGAAGTCTGGTAAGTTCGGGAGGCTCGGCTGCTTCCGTTCTCGTGTGTTTGGGGTTTGCGTGTGTGCAGCTGTGGTGCAAGGGTGTGCGTGCCTCTGCCAGCGCCGTGTGCACGCGCTGCCTGCCCGAGGAGTGCCCGGAGCACTTGTGAGTGAGCGCGTCAGAGCGCCGTGTGCACGTGCTGCCTGCCCGAGGAGTGCCTGGAGCACTTGTGAGTGAGCGCCGTGTGCACGCGCTGCCTGCCCGAGGAGTGCCCGGAGCACTTGTGAGTGAGCGCGTCAGAGCGCCGTGTGCACGCGCTGCCTGCCCGAGGAGTGCCCGGAGCACTTGTGAGTGAGCGCCGTGTGCACGCGCTGCCTGCCCGAGGAGTGCCCGGAGCACTTGTGAGTGAGCGCGTCAGAGCGCCGTGTGCACGCGCTGCCTGCCCGAGGAGTGCCCGGAGCACTTGTGAGTGAGCGCGTCAGAGCACCGTGTGCACGCGCTGCCTGCCCGAGGAGTGCCCGGAGCACTTGTGAGTGAGCGCGTCAGAGCGCCGTGTGCACGCGCTGCCTGCCCGAGGAGTGCCTGGAGCACTTGTGAGTGAGCGCCGTGTGCACGCGCTGCCTGCCTGAGGAGTTTGTGAGTGAGTGCGTCAGAGCGCCGTGTGCACGCGCTGCCTGCCCGAGGAGTGCCCGGAGCACTTGTGAGTGAGCGCGTCAGAGCGCCGTGTGCACGTGCTGCCTGCCCGAGGAGTGCCCGGAGCACTTGTGAGTGAGCGCCGTGTGCACGCGCTGCCTGCCCGAGGAGTGCCCGGAGCACTTGTGAGTGAGCGCCTCAGAGCGCCGTGTGCACGCGCTGCCTGCCCGAGGAGTGCCCGGAGCACTTGTGAGTGAGCGCGTCAGAGCGCCGTGTGCACGCGCTGCCTGCCCGAGGAGTGCCTGGAGCACTTGTGAGTGAGCGCCGTGTGCACGCGCTGCCTGCCTGAGGAGTTTGTGAGTGAGTGCGTCAGAGCGCCGTGTGCACGCGCTGCCTGCCCGAGGAGTGCCCGGAGCACTTGTGAGTGAGCGCGTCAGAGCGCCGTGTGCACGTGCTGCCTGCCCGAGGAGTGCCCGGAGCACTTGTGAGTGAGCGCCGTGTGCACGCGCTGCCTGCCCGAGGAGTGCCCGGAGCACTTGTGAGTGAGCGCCTCAGAGCGCCGTGTGCACGCGCTGCCTGCCCGAGGAGTGCCCGGAGCACTTGTGAGTGAGCGCGTCAGAGCGCCGTGTGCACGCGCTGCCTGCCCGAGGAGTGCCCGGAGCACTTGTGAGTGAGCGCCTCAGAGCGCCGTGTGCACGTCCGCTTGTGCCGGGTGGCAGTGCACGGGGAGGCGGGCGTGAGCCAGGGGACGGAGTCCCAGGGGCCTTGTCTTCGTGGGAGGGGCTGCCATGGCGGGCAGCAGTGAGGTGGGGGGCGCAGGCGGCTTCTCGCTTTGCCCCAGGAATGGTGGGAGGCCCCGTGCTGAGTCTGCAGAGCCCCCTGCTGCGGCCTCCAGGGCCCGAGCTTCCCGTGCGCTCACACCTGGCTGTCATGCTGGCCGCGCCCACGGGGCCGCGGGCAGTGTCTGAGCGTCCACGATGGAGGGCTGCTGAAAACTGAAAGTGGGCGGGGTCTGGCCGCACAGGGTCCTGGTGTGGAAAGGTGGGGGATGGGGAGGGGTCTGGCCGTCACAGGGTCCTGGTGTGGAAAGGTGGGGGGATGGGGAGGGGTCTGGCCGTCACAGGGTCCTGGTGTGGCAAGGTGGGGGATGGGGAGGGGTCTGGCCGTCACAGGGTCCTGGTGTGGAAAGGTGGGGGATGGGGAGGGGTCTGGCCGTCACAGGGTCCTGGTGTGGCAAGGTGGGGGATGGGGAGGGGTCTGGCCGTCACAGGGTCCTGGTGTGGAAAGGTGGGGGATGGGGAGGGGTCTGGCCGTCACAGGGTCCTGGTGGAAAGGTGGGGGATGGGGAGGGGTCTGGCCGTCACAGGGTCCTGGTGTGGAAAGGTGGGGATGGGCGGGGTCTGGCCGTCACAGGGTCCTGGTGTGGAAATGGTGGGGGGACGGGGAGGGTCTGGCCGTCACAGGTCCTGGTGTGGAAAGGTGGGGGGATGGGGAGGGTCTGGTCGTCACAGGTCCTGGTGTGGAAAGGTGGGGGATGGGGAGGGTCTGGCCGTCACAGGTCCTGGTGTGGAAAGGTGGGGGGGGGGGGGTCTGGTCGTCACAGGTCCTGGTGTGGAAAGGTGGGGAGGTTGGGGAGGGTCTGGTCGTCACAGGGTCCTGGTGTGGAAAGGTGGGGAGGTGGGGAGGGGTCTGGTCGTCACAGGGTCCTGGTGTGGAAAGGTGGGGAGATGGGGAGGGGTCTGGCCGCACAGGGTCCTGGTGTGGAAAGGTGGGGGATGGGGAGGGGTCTGGCCGCACAGGGTCCTGGTGTGGAAAGGTGGGGGATGGGGAGGGGTCTGGCCGCACAGGGTCCTGGTGTGGAAAGGTGGGGGATGGGGAGGGGTCTGGCCGTCACAGGGTCCTGGTGTGGAAAGGTGGGGGATGGGGAGGGGTCTGGCCGTCACAGGGTCCTGGTGTGGAAAGGTGGGGGATGGGGAGGGGTCTGGCCGTCACAGGGTCCTGGTGTGGAAAGGTGGGGGATGGGGAGGGGTCTGGCCGTCACAGGGTCCTGGTGTGGAAAGGTGGGGAGGTGGGGAGGGGTCTGGCCGTCACAGGGTCCTGGTGTGGAAAGGTGGGGAGGTGGGAGGGGTCTGGCCGTCACAGGGTCCTGGTGTGGAAAGGTGGGGGATGGGGAGGGGTCTGGCCGTCACAGGGTCCTGGTGTGGAAAGCTGGGGGATGGGGAGGGGTCTGGCCGTCACAGGGTCCTGGTGTGGAAAGGTGGGGAGGTGGGGAGGGGTCTGGCCGCACAGGGTCCAGTGCTCACTCTGCTCCGTCTGGCGCCAGGCGGTGTGACCGCGAGCTGTGTCCACTCCCGGGCCTCCGTCCTCAGCCGGCGTGCGGTCTGGGCATCTCGGTTCCCTTGCTGGAGGAACTCTGGCGTGATCTGTAGGGTGTCTGTCAGGGTGCCCAGGAGGAGGGACAGGCCAGCGGCTGTCAGCGCTGCGTTGCTATATGGAGCAGGCAAGGAGAGTGTCAGGGAACGTGTGTTCTGGGGATTTGCCGCCTCACCCTCCCACCCGCCGCGGGCTTCGTCTGATTTTCTTGTTGAGGAGGGTAGACCGGATGGCACGTGTGTGCCTCTGAGTGCAGAAGGGTCAGTGTGTTCATGGAGGGAGGACCGGATGGCACGTGTGTGCCTCTGAGTGCAGTAGGGGTCAGTGTGTTCATGGAGGGAGGACCGGATGGCACGTGTGTGCCTCTGAGTGCAGTAGGGGTCAGTATGTTCATGGAGGGAGGACCGGATGGCACGTGTGTGCCTCTGAGTGCAGTAGGGGTCACTGTGTTCATGGAGGGAGGACCGGATGGCACGTGTGTGCCTCTGAGTGCAGAAGGGTCAGTGTGTTCATGGAGGGTGCGGAGACGCCAGTGCAGGACGCGTTCTTGTGCTGCGGGAGAAGGCCCGGCGCTCCCGGCGCGCCCACCGCGTGTGGGCTCGGGACTGACCTGGGCGAGGCGTCTCTTAGAGCCCTTGCTGCCTTGCCCCAGGTCTCTCTCTCTCTGGTTTACTTCTCCTGTTGTGGAGTGGTTGTCTTGGATTGAGAATCATTCATGATGACGCAAGGCTGGCGAAGTGTCGAAGGCGTAGGGGGCTCCCTGGGGAGGCACCCGTTTCTCTAGTTCTGCCTGTGTCTGATGGTTTGTGGGGAAAACATTACACTAAAAGGCAACCTGTAGCTTCCCAAGCACCCTCTTGTGGTCTGACTGAAGTACAGTCAGCTTGGCGGGTGTAGAAATCGGAATTAGAAGCTGCTTCCCGAGCAAGGGAATTTCAGTTTTATTTCAGTTTGTGATCTCCCACCTGCTGGTTCAGTTCCCAGTGGCCGCAAGGCCGGGGCTGAGCAGAGGCCAAAGCCAGCAGTCAGGAACCCAGTCCAGGACTCCCAAGCGGGTGGCAGGAACCCACCTCCCAGCACTGTCCCCCGTCCTCCAGGGTCGAGCCAGCAGTGAGGTGCAGGGTGCCTCCTGGGGTCAGGACGTCAGGGTGCTGTTTGCAGGTCCTCTGCGCGGGTTCCTTGTCACCCGCACCTCTCAGAGCCTCTGCCTGAGCCGCCCTGCGGAGCTGAGGTTCACGGTTTAACCTGCAGAGCCGGCGTCTCCCTGCGCAGGGCCCTGCAAGTTCTGACCTCACAGTGCCGCTCCCTCCTGCACTGACGGCCTGCTTTCTTCTTGTCTTGTCTTCCCTGTGCGCGCTTTGCTTCCCCGTCCCCTCCCCTCCCTCCCCTCCCCCCTTCCTCTTCTCCCTCTTTCCCCTCTCTTCCCCTTCCCTTCCCCTCCCTCCCCTCCCCCTCTTCCCTTCCCTCCTTCCCCTCCTCTTCCCTTCCCCCTCCCTCCCTCCTTCTTCCCTTCCCTCCTTCCCCTCCTCTTCCCCTCCCCTCCCTCCCTCTCCCCTCTCCTCCCTCCTCTTCCCCTCCCCTCCCTCCCTCTCCCCTCCCCTTCCCCCTCCCTCCCTCTCCCCTCTCCTTCCTTCCCTTCCCTCCCCTTCCCCCTCCCTCCCTCTCCCCTCTCCTTCCTTCCCTTCCCTCCCCTTCCCCCTCCCTCCCTCTCCCCTCCCCTCCCTCCCTCTCCCCTCTCCTTCCTTCCCTTCCTTCCCCTTCCCCCTCCCTCCCTCTCCCCTCCCCTTCCCTCCCTCCCTCTCTCCTTCCCCTCCCTCGTTTAGTTTTGTCTTTTCTTTCCAGATTGCTTTATTGGAAAGGCAGCATGTCGGAGAGGGAGGGGGCGAGGGACAGAGAGTCCTCCCGGCCACTGGTTCGCTCCGCAGATGCCACAGCAGCCGGGTCTGGCAAGGCTGAAGCCAGGAGCTCCATCTGGGTCTCACGTGGATGGCAGGATCCCGAGACCCTGAGCCATGTTCTGCT